TCTATCCAGACGTTTGGCTTTTTTACATACCCGGCCGACGTTCTTCCCGTTTATACCTGGCTGCCCGACCCCCTTTCCTCCCAGTGCCCCGACCGGCGGTGGTGGCCCAGGCTGAGGGGACCATGACCCAGCTCTTTTCTGTCTGCTAATGCCGGCTGTGTAACAGGCCAGGTGGGTCACGTGACCCAGTGCCGCTGGCCCTGGCTGGTGTTCTATGGGGAAGTGTACGGCCCATTGTGTAGGAATGTTCTGCTCGGGGTGTCTTATTGTCATGGTGCCAGATATATATATATATATATATTTTTTTTTTTACATTCTAAAACACTTGGAGGCGGTTCAGTAAGGCATTTGTGACACATTTCTATTAGTGTGTATGTAGTCGGATGTCAAATTCACAAAAAAAAACAAAACCCTGTGACGTTTTCATCGTCTGTGCCGACGCGTGCGACAAATTCAAGTACTTATATTGTATGGTGCTGTTGTTGAGCCAGATTCCTAAATAAATACCGCCGTGTTGGTGATGAGGCAAGTGTATGAGACTGATTGTGTGTTGGAGTAAATTGTAGATTGCGTCCGATGTGAAATTTTGGTGAAACAAAATTTGGCTTTAACTGTTAGCCCCTTGAGGTGTTCTTAAAGGGGAAGTATTGGGAGAGCAAAACATTTTTCTTCCCTATACTTTGAGCTGGCATGAGACATTGCAGGTGTCCCACATCGGCTTCATAGATCCACAGCCGAGCAATCAAACTACATAGAGGGGAATTTATCAAAACTGGAGCAAACAAAATCTGGAGCAGTTGTGCATGACACCCAATCAGCTTCTCTCTCTTCAGTTTGGCTAGTTAAGATTTGAAAATAAAGGAGAAGCTGATTGGTTGCCATGCGCAGCTGCTCTAGATTTTGTCTGATCCAGTTTTGATAAATTCCCCCATAGTATATTAGTCAGGTTGAAAAAAAAGACACAAGTCCATCGAGTTCAACCTATAGAGAAAACTGCTGATCGCTCAGTACATTCTCCCTGCAGAGAAAGGTGAATGTCAGTCACTGCTCCCCACAGGGATTCCCCCCTTCCTTCTCTGTTCCCCCAGTGCTCATTGGCGAGACAGACAGGGGAGGGGGCAGGCACAGTTCTGGCTCTAGAGAGGCAAAGCCAGCTGTCAAATCGGGCAGCTTGGTGTATCCCAACAATTTTATGGGGCTCCTTCGCTGTCACTGCTCCCTGCAGAGATTCCCCCCTTCCTTCTCTGTTCCCCCAGTGATCATTGGAGAGACAGACAGGGGAGGGGGCAGGCACAGTTCTGGCTCTAGAGAGGCAAAGCCAGCTGTCAAATCGGGCAGCTTGGTGTATCCCGACAATTTTATGGGGCTCCTTCGCGGCTCTGCACTGTCAGCAAATATAGCAGACTGACTAGCATTGACTTTGGGTCACTTTAATGTCCTCCTTTGACCTAAAAGAGGACTAATAGCTCAAATAAAAAGGTTTGGCTTGTGTTCTTTAAACGCCAAGAGGCAGAAGTGGCTTCCTGATCATGTGATCAGTGTGACTGAGTATCATAGTGATCCTTGGCTTCCGATCAGAAGCTGATATATATGTGTGTGTATGTATGTTATTATTATTATTATACAGGATTTATATAGCGCCAATAATTTGCACAGCGCATTACAATATAAGGCAGACATTACAATCGCAATACAATTCAAGACAGGATGGTAAGGAGGGCCCTGCCCGTGAGGGCTTACAATCTAAAAGGGAGGGGCCAGTGATACATGAGGAGGTAGCTGCTTGGGGATGATTGTTTGAGAAAGTGATTGTTCAGTGGTTAGGTTGAGGTGGGATAGGCTTCCCTGAAGAGATGAGTCTTAAGGGATCGCCTGAAGGCAGTCAGTGTGGGAGATAGACGGACAGGTTGGGCTAGAGAGTTCCATAGGATGGGAGAGACTCTAGTGAAGTCCTGGAGGCGAGCATGGGAGGAGTTGATGAGGGAGCTGGAAAGCAGGAGGTCTTGTGAAGAGCGTAGGGGACGGTTAGGGTGATATTTTGAGACAAGGTTGGAGATATAGCCGGGGGCAGAGTTGTGGATGGCTTTGTAAGCAGTTGTTAATATTTTGAATTTTATCCTTTGGGCTGTATCTCACCGGCACATACATGAATCAGTCGCTAGTTCCACCACCACCAGATGGATTTCTAAAGAGTATCTAAGACGCTCTTTGTGAATTACAGGGTTGCTGTCTTGGTTTAGTATTTGTTAATGTAAGATCCTGTATGAGGTCTTTAAGCCTCAGGTGACACAACTTAAACTCTATCTGTGATGAAACTACAAACCCCATCATGTCTCTGGAAGTCGTGGCTGTTTGTCTTGCAATACCTAATTGGATTTGTAGTTGCACAACAGCCTGGGTGCCAAAGTTTGCCCCTCCCCTGTACTAGAGGTTAGAATAAACAAATGTTTGTTCGGAGTGGAGGTATGGGTTGATGTAAAAGTTTTATGGCCCCCTCAGTCGTTGCTCATAGCGAGTCTTTGCAAGTGCAGCTGGTTTGCAGTGACTCGGCGGATGTAGCGCTTGGTTCATGCCAGCGCATCAACATCTCCGCTAGTAGTTTATTTAAAGCGGGGGTTGGGCAACTCTGACCTTCCAGCTATGCTTTATTTACATATCCCGTCATGCCTGTTGCTGTCAGTCTGGCAATGCCTAATGGGACTTGTAGTCCCACAACAGCTGGAGGGTCGTTGTTGCTCCTCCCTCATTTGAAGGTTTGATGAAATGCTGCCTTAAAAGAAAAAAGACAGACATATTTATTTACTGCAATAGTTAAGTGTGAAATATTGTTTTGTTAAATTGACTATTTGGCTTCTATAGTTTATAAATATATACTGTGAGGAAATGCTAAACTCATGTTACATGTAATCTTTTATTTGTTGTATATGAATTTCCCTTTCCCCACTATGTATATCAGCTTTCATTTCAGTGGTACTTTAAAGTGGACCTTTACCCTCCTTTCACTAAAAATTAGGGATGCACCGATACCAAGTACCGTACTTGGTACAAGTACAGATACTTTTCGAGCTCCAAGACTAGAGAAAAATTCTAAAGTTAGGAGGCCGCTGTTATTTGTAAGGAGCAAACGGAGCTGCTGGGATTTGTACATCTCTGTTTTAGGGCTTGTTCACACCGAAAGCGTGTGCGTTCCACAGCTCTAGCTGTTGGAAAGCACCGCGATCGCTAAGAAACTTCCCCGCGCGTTCTGGGGCGGGCGTTGCATTGAATTCAATGGCACCGCTTCCACGCCCCTTGCTCTATTTTTTTGCGTTTGCAGTGGAATGGAACGCTGGCAAAGTTTTGCCACGCATCCGATCGCACTGCCGGCGTGGAAGCCGTGCCATTGAGTTCAATGCACCGCCACACCCCCTCCCGCCCCAGAAGGCGGGGGGAAGTTTCTTAGTGATCACGGTGTGTTCCAGCAGCTACCGCTCTGGAACGCACACGCTTTCGGTGTGAACAAGCCCTTAATGTATGATTTTGTTACACACACACACCAGTTTTTGCAAGTACAAGTTCTGGTACTTGCCCGAATACTTACAGACACAAGTACTGATACATTTTTTTTTTTGTCATATGACAGTTTTTCTAAAACAATATCAACTAATGATTTCAGGTCAGTGGTGGAGCGCCAGAGCCAGGTCCCAGCTGCAACCCTGGTAGTTCTCATGAAAATGCCAAGTATCGGCACTGGTACTCGAAAGGTATCGGTGCAGCCCTACTAAAAATCACCCCAGCATGTAGCTCTGCATGCTGATATGACATCATCTTACATTCATCCGTTAAATATATTTTACTTAAAATGATTGCTTTTTTCTATTCCTGGTCATCTTAGGCATTAGTGGTGCAGCCCAAGCCTAAGAGATGCATCATGGGAAGGTCACTTCAGGGGTGAATTGCTGAGAAATGTTTTGCGAACGAGCAAAATTCTACCAGTGAATGTGGTTGATGTTTTGATCATACCATCCGATTTCGTAATGAATACAGTTTCTCAAACGAAACTTCAAACAATGTTCTTCATGTCTCTGATGGCGTTATCTGATGTTCTAATGAGAATTTTTTCGTATGAACGTCCCTAAAAAATCTAGCAGCGTATGATCAGCTTTATTTTTAGTTGTTGATAAAGAAGAAACGGTAGAAGCTTTGTCAGATGTTAATTGCCATGTGTCCATATGGGCTGGGAAGATTCCTTCTCTTTGACCTGGTGGCAATTGTCACTGGTATAGAAAGTTAAAATCAACGTTTTACAGTCGTCGTTAGAACATGACGGAGGGAAAAAAATAATCTTGCAGCACGTTGACCTTTTCCATAAAAAGAGGGGATTTCTCATTATTTTGGAGGTATTTTCTTTCACTTTCTGTTAGGTCTTGTTTTGTTTGAGACTAAATTTCCCCACCAAGACACAGATGGCGAGAAACAACCTGTCGGGGTTTAAACATTTCCTACTCGATCCAAAAGAAAAAAACAATATAGCTACACTTTTTATAAGTGATATTAAAGTCAAGGTTTTTAAGCAAATGCTGAATTAATTCAATTACAATGGATGCTGCTCTTTGATGCTTGTGTTCTTTTTCTGCATAGTAAACAGTTCCCCAGAGCACTGGTCCCAATATCCTGTTTTAGGGTGGCTCCTTTCCATTGCAGGGTTCTTTTGGAGCCACCCTTGTGTGTTCTAGTAAGCTGTGTGTCTCTCCACAAACACAGGCAGCAAGGCACGACACCCCCCCCCCTTTGTTTCTCCTTCCTACAAGCGAGTAGATGGGCAGCTACTGTAGACTGCTCTGTCCCTTATGATCTTGTACTGGACAGGAAGTT